CTGCCACGCAGAAAAGGAACCCTCGGGGCGCAAATGCTGGCACCCCCAAAAGACAGTCGGGGCAATGCAAGGGCCTAGGGACTCGCAAGCCTCTGCATCTGCGGCTGGGCCATACAGTGACTGCTCGTCATCGCTTATGCTCGGCAGCATTTCTGGAGGAGGCAGCGAGGCCTCAGAAGAAGGCACGGGACTGCCTCCCACCAGCTGGGGTCCCTCAAGGCCCTCCTTGTCAGGGAGGGCCCCGTCAAGACGGCTCCAGGAACGGCCAGGGGACCGCGTGCAGCAGCACGGAGGAGACAAGGCGTCGCTGTTTATGGCGTCCAGTTCGTCGTGAAGCATTCGTTCTGTCAGACTCGGCGGGGTGTACATACAACGAGGGCTTCCGGGATCCGCGCTGCTGAGGGCCGACAGGCAGCCCCGGTCCCTCAGCTCGTGATGCTGTTCGGGGCTCTCGGGACTCAGAGGTGGGTTAAGGGAGTAGAGACTACAAAAGTCCCACACCGAGCTCGAGCGGCCCTCAGTATCGGCTCCTGTTTCTATTGGCGCAGGCCCTGTGTGCCCCGTTGGCATGCGCTGGAGAAGCCACTGCGTCTTCTCCAGCCCAGGAGGCTGCAGCTGGAGAGGCAACAAGGGGTCCCCCCAGGTAACTCCAGGGCTGGTGCAGGGGCCGGACCCCCTGGCAGACGTCCCCGGGGGCCCCTCCTGTCTGGTGAGGGCCTGGTAAGCCGGCAGCACCCAGGGCGCTTTGCTGGGAGAAATGCATTTCTGGCCGCCGGCGCCGCCATCGTCTTCTCTTGGCGCGCAGGTATCGTTTTCCTGCTTGTCTTGCGGAGGGGCCCCCAGCCCAACGGAGGGCGCCCTGGCTACCTCTGGAGCAGGGGCAGGAGAGGGGCCCCCAGGCTTCTCCTTTGAAGCACTCAACCCGGCCTCAGGTGACAGCGCTACGGAGGTAACTCCCCCGCGGCTGCTGAAGCTCGAGGATGAGGGACTGGCAGACACATGAGGGGAGCCCTGTGATGAGGCAGCTGCAGCAGCCAGGCAGACACAGACAAGCAAAGAGTGAGATCTCAGTGCACAGTCCTTCAATTCAATGACTCCACTGCTTCGTGCTTGTACGGCTTTAGCGCCTGCAGGGCAAGCTGCACAAGCCCCCTACGAGCAAAAAGAAGAAAACATACGGAGATGTATTTACGTAAAAGGCCAGAAAACAAGAAGAAATGGAGCACCTAGGCAGATGTAAATGTCAGTTTTGGATGCACTTAGTAGTGTTTCTTTCCCCTTCACTTACAGGGGCCATCTTGCCGCGCAGCGGACTCTGGAGAAGCCCCATCTCGGGGCAAGCCTGTGGAGCTGCGGCCTTGGCTGTCTCGCGGTGCATATGTATCAGCAGAGGCTCTGCTGGGGCTGGTGGTGGCGGTGCGAAGGTCGGGGGCAAGAGTCTGTGTCTCCGGGTGTGTGGAGGCAGAATCAGGAGGCGGCTTGAGCAGCTCTGCCATTTCCATGGTCTGGGGAGTCCCCTCAGGATAAGGGCCCTCAGATGGGAGGCCCTCAGGATGGAGCTCTCTCGCAGAGGTGCCCGTAGAAGAGGGGCCCTCAGTAGAGGGGCCCTGGGAAAGAGGGGACTCTGGCTGCTCGCTAGTTTGGAGGGTTTGAGTACGAGACGGTTGGGCGTCGGGAGATCCGGCGCAGAGGGCCTGAGAGCACACCTGATGTAGTGACGGCGAAGCCGAGATGAAAAGGCGGAGGCCTGGGGGCTCATCTTTGAAAGCTTGTTTAGGGGTCGGGGGGCCTCCATAGTCCGCAGACAGAGCCGCAGCTGCTGCCTTCATGGATCTGCCTAGCGCACCCACCCCAGACGCCCCTACTGTCTCTGACGCAAACACTTGTGGCTAGGAAAAGGCACAAACGCAAAAGCACAGGCACAGCCACGCTGCAGCAAAGTCGGTGGAGGCCGGCAGCAGGAAATAGCCGCAGCGTGCATCTGCAAACGCAACTGTCTTCTGTGTAGAGAAGCATATGCAAAAAAGAAATAAGCTATACGCTTGATAGGGGCTGAGGCCGAGAGTTGCAGCTTCGTATACACATTTTGGTGTAAGGCGCATGCATGCTTTGGGAGGCTTTCACACATTCAGCAATAACATGTATGAATAGGTGTATGCTGAGGCTGGCCAGCTTTATTGCTGCAGCCAGCAGAGTATACGGGGTGCTGCATAGCAGAGGAGGCAGTCGAAGAAGCACTTACTCACTGCGACCCATCGCCTCCTACAGGCCCCCAAGCCCCAGTGAGCTGCAGCAGACACCCAACTAAATTTTGCTGCCGTCGTTGCACACTGCTGCTACGCCCGCTGCAGCTGCCCCGCGGGGCCAAAGGCTAGTGACAAGAAAAAGGAGTAATTGGGGCAGAAAGACCCGAGGAGCAGCAGCAAAACACTCACATTCCTAGGCGCCGCCTCAACTTGGCGCTGTGCTGCGGCTGCTCCTCCTGCTGCTGGAAAGGTCCGTCAAGCCCAAGCTGGACAGAGTCTCCAAGGCTCATTGGGGTCTCGGCCATGGGTCAGAGACAGGTTCAAAGGAAGACATGTATTTGCCCCGCGCCCTCAAAATAGAGAAAAATGGGGCGCATTCGTTTGCTGTTCGCTCTGGGACCCCAGAGACGGCGAGGGTCACCTCTTGGATAGGAAGGGGCCCCCAGGGTGTCCTGGACGGAACTGGAGAAGATAGAGGAGTGTCTTTATTTGTATCTAGAAGGGGCCCACGGGAGCAAAGAGACAGAAGCCAAGGCCGGTGGAAGTGACCTTAGGTAAGCCGGAGTTGAGCATGGGACCGCCAGGCCCCAGCGGGCGACTCAGCCGCCCGCTGACTCTATTTTGAGTAGTTTACGTCGCCTGCCACTTCACTGGCTTCTTTTTGTCTGCTGCAGTTTGTCTTCTGCAACAACGCCAGCACCTTCGCCCGCGGCGTCCTCGTGGCCATGCCCGGTCACAGGTACAGCTGGGGCAGCTGCCGAGGCTACGCCTGAAGCATGAGAGACACAAAACGGGTCTTGAAGGGCCTCTCTAAATTCTCTGAGGGCTCTGGCTGCCTCTGCAGGACTCTGTGGAAGCAGCTGGGCATGCCGCCAGCCATGGAGACGGCAGAGACAGCGCTCGGGCGAGGCGGCTTGTGGGCAGCGGCGCCAACGGATTCGGGGCCTCTATAGGTCTCCCAAGGAATTTAAATGGGTATTCCACTTCCTTTAAGGGTTTATTTTTGAAAAGCCGACAACAAGAACCCATCTGGTACCCTTGCCTCACCCACTGCTCGGCGCCGCCGAGCAGCCGTCGGCCGCGCCCCCTTGGGACCGCCGGCGGCGGCGGCGGGTATGGCTGGCCCAGCCGTGCCTGAGCCTATGCGTTAGTAGGGGCCTCAGCCTTAGCCTTTTACATTTTATGAACTACTTCAAAGCTCCTGAATGCTCTTTTATGAAAGACAGGAAACGAAGACTTCGTTTTCTCCCCTTGTGCTTCTCGTGATCCCCGAGACCGCTTGCCAGTTGTTGCAGCCCTGGGGGCCCATGAGTCGCAGGTGAGACACTGCCGACAGCAGCAGTCCTCCCCTCTTGTTTGTGACCGAATGAAAGCTAAATGGAGTAAATTTAACCTAAGTGAACTGTTTACTTGCCTTCGGACACGGCCTGCTCATTTCAGCCCTTCTGGCCGCGCCTCCGCAGCAACGGCATAGCGCGAGAATTGCCTTAGCTACACAGCGGTCTAAGCTCAACCAGTGAGTTACTTCTACCCCTCTACTATAGCAGTCCCAAGGAAGAGTCGATGCTGGAAAAGAAACAACAACCATAGCCAATTGTGCAGTCAAGACAAGGGCTCATACACACTTGTCTTTTTAAGCCCCCAAAGGGGAAAAACAATGCATTTGTTCCCGTGCGCGCATAACCCTAAGCAAAAGGAACACAGAAACGAACTCCTATTAAGACCAAACACCCTGTCCTTTTCCTGCGTCCTTCTAGTCTGCGGCAGGAAGCGGCAAGCACGGTTTAGCTGCTCGACACCATTTCTTAGTCTCAGCTAGCCAGGCCGGTTGGCCATGTGCACAAGCGAGCGAGCACTGGCTACAGAACGGCCCCTTAGGGGCCCCTGTGATACTTCTGAGTCGCCAGGCAGGGACCTTCATGTAGGAAAGACTCTCCCCGTATCTCCCAATTCTTTCTCTCCCAGCGGCTAAAGAGAGAACCACAACAGCCGTGTCACAACTGTCAGACTTAGCAGGGCCCCACAGTCTCCCGTGGGGCCCCGAGGGCAACTGCAACAGAAGCACCTGGGGAGCCTCTGATCAAAAGCACCGCTGCTTCAATAGCAGCTGCTGCCGCCGTTCCGCCCTCCGCCTCAGCAGCCAGTCTTTCCAGAAAGACCCTTACAAAGATCCACAGCGGCAGCCTCAGCGCCTGCAGAAGAACTAACGGGGGGCCCACGGAGAGGAGTTCACTGAAAACTGTCGGCAGAGCCTCGCAGTAGGCCTGCCTAAAAGGGCTTCCCAAAGGCTAACTTGGGGGGCCCTAGAGGGCCCTATTGGTACACCGAACTAAGCGCTCCCCACAGCGGCGCCCTTGAGTTCTGGAAAAGCTCGTAACTCTTCAAGTGGCTTCGGACAGAGACAAGGCTCACTCTTTCCCCCAAGATCTTCCTCTGCCCGTCTCGCTGTAAGATAAGGAGCACCTTGTTGACGGGCGGTAATGCGCAGGCCACCCTTGTCGCTGGACACCGACAGTCCCCCGTGGCGTTATTCCTCGGGGGCCCCCCAGGGGGCCCCCGAGCCCCCGGCCAGCCCCCAGGCTGGCCTCCCGAAACTCCAGCCCTGCCAGGGCTGTTTGGCTGAAGAGCAGTAGGCGGCAGAAGCCTCAGAATAAACTGAGAGCACTTGGCGGGCATATTTTGCTCGTGGCCTTAAGAAACGCCCCCCGGCAAAGGCCCGCTGCCGGGCGGCGCCAGACTCAGAGAAGACAGCCGCTAGCCAGTCTGCTTTGTGCAGGCCTCTCCAGCTTTGCCCCCCAGAGGAGGGGTGAAGAGGGGCTGCAGCGGGTCGGGGCCGCTGGGGGCCTCAGCGGCAGCGGGGAAGGGGCAGGGGGTGCTGCGCGTCCGGGTGAGTCTGCAGGGCGCGGGGGCCCTCCCCGGGGCTGAGACCACGGAGTGGGGGGGGCTGGGCGGAGAAGAAAGGCCTGTGGGGTGGGCTGCTGCTGCTGCTGCTGCTGTGCCTTCGTCGCCACAGGCATCCGGGAACATGCCCTCCGCCCAGTACTGGCTCAGGCGCTGCAGCTCGATGAAGGCGCACTGCTGCGCTGCAGTCTGGGGACTGCCGTTGTCCCCCTCCGCCACCTCCAGCAGCTCGCCAGCATAGAGCAGCGAGGGGTCTCCCACGGCCTCCGCGAGCCGTTCCCGCGGGTCTGCAGCAGAAGAGAAGAGACCCTCGGAGGCCCTCGAAGCCACGCGCTGCAGATTCAAAGTGATCTCCGCCTCCAGCTGCGCCGACACCAGCTTGTGTCTCTGGCCCCGCGTGGACAACGTGGGCAAAGAGGAAACAGCCCGAGCTGCATACTTGCGGCCTGTGGGCCCCAGGGGGCCCCCCCCCGCCTGCTCCGCAGTGCGGCGGCTGTGGGCAGCAGCCAGGCACTGCAGCAGCTCCCCCTGCGTCACCGGCAGGGGCCCCGTCAGGCCCTCCTGCAGGTCCATGCGCTGCGGGATGTGCAGCTCGCGGAGACACTCCTGGAGACAACACCCACAGCAGCCATCCACAGCAGCTGACAGCCATGCAGAGGTAGAGGCGGGAGACAGGGGCTCAGAAGCAGCAGCAGAACAGGTGGAGACCGAAGCAAACGGAGACAAGAAGCAGCTAACACTG